ATCCTCAGTCAGAGAGATGTATCTAGACCGGGTGTTGGTCACTAAGCGGGATGCAGGGATTTCCCGCAATTGTCCTTGCTGATCACTAGCCTTCTGGCGGAGTCTTTCTCAGGTCTACAGAAAAGTGATTGCACATTTAATTCCCAATCCTCAGGATCCAGCTGGTACTCATGTAACCTGGCTCTGGGGTTCCGAGAGAGGATTTTCTATCTCCGTCCACAGTTTGTTTCTCTGATACAAATCATTAATAATATCATTGGTATTTCTATTACTTTTGGGAGGCAATACAGTTGCCCCTTGAACAATGCAGGTGTTGGGGTGTCCCACCCCGTGCAGTTGAAAATCCACGTATAACTTTACAGTCGGCCCTCTGTAACCACAGATCGTGTAGTACTGTAGCACATATTGACAGAAAATATCTACATATAAGTGGCCCCGTGCAGTTCAAACCCATGTTGTTCAAGGGTCAGCTGCATAATATAATTTTTAAAAGCACAGATTCTGGAATCAGATACTCTGGTTAAAATCTCAGGTCTGTCACTTACTAACAATGTGGATTTGGGTAAATTATTTTTTCTTTGTGCCAGTTTCTCAGCGTCTGTGAAAATCATCGGGATTATGCTATTACCTTCCTCACAAGGGTTGTGAGAGAGACAGTTAGTGCTCACTAAGATATCCATGAGCTCCTTGACGTTTCCCAGGCATCTTTGCTGTGATTGGGGCCACGTGACTAGTTCCAGCCAATGGGCTGGAAGTAGAAATGTCATGTGTCATTGCCAGGCTGGGGCAGGTAGGAGCTGGTTTGCCTTTTGCATCCTCTCTCTCTCTCTACCAGGGTGCCCTTGGGTGGTATCACGAGACAGAGGGAGCCTGAATCCTTGAGTTACCAGGCGGAGGAGAGTCTCTGCCTACTCAAATCCAGCTTTGCAAGAGTAAGAAATAAACTTGTGTTATGCTAACTATGAAGATTTTGGAGTTATTTATTTCATTTTTACCACAGCATAGTTTATACTATGCTGACTAATACAGGGTTGTTCTAAACACTGATTAAAACATAGAAAGCACTTGGATTAATGCCTAGAATATTAAGTGCTGTAAAAATATTTCCCTTTTGTCCTCTTCTTAAAAGAACCATAATTCTTAGCATGGGCCATTTTAGTTTCCACTTACATCTTTATCACTCTATTTATTACTCTACTTATGATGAACCAGCCTCATATGGATGCATTTACTACACACACACACACACACACACACACACACACACACACACATCATGTTGTCTTAAGGAAGTTAATAGTCTACAAGTAGGGCTAGAAACTTGGGTGTGGAGTGAAGTAAGAAAGAGTTCTCTCTCCATCTCAAAAGACAGCCACCCATGTATGAAGTTCTGTTTAGACAGACTCTGTGTCTCTGAGCAAGGGAAGGGAATCTATGTATCTTGCTACCATCTCTCAGGTTGCTAGGGCCGCTCTGTTTCATGAGGGAAAGCACAAGCAGACTACCATTTTGTTTTCTCAGTACACTTCCATTCACCTTACAGTTAGTAGAAATTTCTCCCAGATTCTGCAGTAGGTTGTTTTTATCTTTCAGTGTTAATTATTTTCATCTTTTCCTGAGTCTCCATTGGTTCTTTCTCAAACCATCAGTCTTGTTTTTGACCTCCAGTCATGCTTCTTGCATTCATTCATTCTTCTTACACAGACTATATTCCGTCTATATATTCTCAATAAAGTTATTTTCATTTTAAAGCCATTTTCTTTGATGACTCATTAGTTGGAGGCTGGAACACAGCAAAACAGACATGATTAAGAGAGTGGCTGAAGTTCAGTAGTCTCCATCTCCCACAGTGTTGCTTATTTCAAATAGCAAGCCATCCTTTGTTTCTTCCTTGACATATCAAGTATGCATAATCTAACTTCCTTATTCTTGGAAAATGGAACTCGACTATTCATGGTCTACATCCTGGGCCCTGGTATATATTGTCTTTCCATGATGTTTTGGAGTCATAGGTTAAGGACGTGTGTATTAGCCAGTTTTGGTGGAAAAATGAGTAGGGGCCAAATCATGAAGGGACTTAAGTGCCAAACTTAGGACTTTGCACTGTAGGGACTGTGGTAACTTGATACAATCTGCATTTAGGAAAGGCGATCCTGGTAGGAAACATGGAAGGAAGTAAAGAGGATGTAGCCCAAGAGCATTTGGTTTACCCTCTCACCCTTCAGGGAATAGAGAGGAAATATGGACTGTTGTTAGGAAGGTAGAACTGATGGACTTGGTGTCTGGTTGAAAAAGACAGAGGTGCAGTGATGCCAGGTTTCTGACTTGAGTCACTGTGAATGCTGGTGTCATTTATTCATCAAACTTCAGCCCACAAGAGTAAAAGAAGATTTTTGGAGAAGAAGATAATTTCTTTTTTGCATGTGTTGTGTTTGAGATATCTTGGGAACATTCTGCTGAGGTGTCGGAAAGGCATTTGGATATATAGGCCCAGAACTCAGAGAAGGTAACTGGAGTAGAGAGGAGAGAAGCAGCTCAGGTAACCGTCGCCTTTAGGGAGGTGGCTGAGAGATGTCATTACCTCAGGTAGAGCCCTGAGGGTTGTGAATAGGCAGCAGAGACCTGAGGAAGGGCAGCAGTGTTACTGAAAGATAGCTTTAGTCTGCTGTGTCCACGACACCCTGGGGATTCCCGGAGATTCTAAAGGGGAGAGAATCTTGAGTGGAGAGAAAGTAGGATCCCGATGTTCAGCTGATGGGGACTTTGGAGCCAGCAGAAGCTGACATATTAACATGATGTTATTAGCCCCGACATGCAGAATGGTTTACCCATTCATCCTTCAGGGGTTACTTTATTATTCAGTAACAGAAAGGCCTCGGACTTTCCTCTTTAAAAGCGTCATCTTGGTCTTTTTCCTCTTTCATCCACACAGAGCCCATTGCCTCATATGGAGGCAGCGTGTTGTGGAAACAGCAGGGACTCTAAAAACTTTCAATTCTAGATTTAAACTTGGAGTAGAAACTTACTGGCTAGGTAACATTGGTAAAACTGCTTCGCTTCACTGAGCCTCTCTTTCCTTTCTTATAACCTCAAATATTGTTGAGATTAAATAAGGTAACATAGAGACATTTGACACAGCTAGTTTTCCCTATCTTTCTTTTAATTGCTGAGTAGTACTTTTATGCTTTAATGTCAGCATCTCAGCCAAAGACTTTTTTTCAGGAAAGAACACCTTTGTACCAGCACCTTTCATTGAGGTCCAAGAACCTGGCCCTCATTTTACTGACTGTTGGTTTTAAGCTTGCAAAGGTGTGTCTCTGATAGGCTCTGACTAACTAGATAGGGTCCTCTTTCACTATGATGAAGTTCCAGAAAGCCATTCTTCAACAAAAACCATTCTCCCAGGCTTCCCTGGTGGCGCAGTGGTTGAGAGTCCGCCTGCTGATGCAGGGGACACGGGTTCGTGCCCCAGTCCGGGAAGATCCCACATGCCACGGAGTGGCTGGGCCCGTGAGCCATGGCCTCTGAGCCTGTGCGTCCGGAGCCTGTGCTCCACAATGGGAGAGGCCACAACAGTGAGAGGCCCGCGTACCGCAAAAAACAAAACAAACAAACAAAAAAAACCCATTCTCCCACCTTCTTTTTCTGTGACCCTTGGAAACTGCAGTCAAATCGTCTCGTAGTTCAATCTTGTCTGACACAGTTTTGTTTGTCTGAGCCCTATGAATGGAGACTGCTGCTGCTTCTGCTTCTCTGCCTGCCCATGAAGGCCTCATCTGTCTCATTCATCTCCTCGAGGTTTGTGATCTCAAATTCCTATTTTATTTACCCACTGTGGTCATTGATTGAACTTCATAGCCCATCAGTAGTCCTTGGCCTGGGGAATCATGTGGATTCCTCTAATCCTTTGTAAATGGTATAGCCATTTTATTGGAATTTTCAAATTTCCCCCTACTATCTGAAAGCAGAGGTTCCTATGAATCCTTTCCTAAGCTGAAATGGCATAAGGTGAAGAAGCAATTACCTTGGGATATGTCTCGGTAACAGATGCACAAAATAAATGGAGATGAAGCACAGATGCTCACAGACACAGTTCAAAGCTATGGGGGCTTGATGCTTAGATGCTGAGTAGTTCCTGGGGAAGGAGCTGGGTGATGTCACTCTCTCTGCTCAGGTGCACCCTGCCTCTATAACGGCTGCTGCCAAACCAACGCTGAACTCTATTTTCACTTTTTGTCTTGTTTTGTAATAGCGAAACCTCTTCGGATTTCTTTTGGTTAGATAAAACAGGTACTAATGTAGGTCTTTTGTAAGAGCTAGGTGGAGTAAAGTGAACTCTTGAAAAGCAGGGTTATCTGTACCTGATAAAAGGCAGGGCTCTGTCCATCCAAATATTTGTGATTATAGCTTGGTTATGGCCTCAATGGGAAAAGTAGTCTTCCAAACTTCCTGAGATGAGTTTTGGCATGTCTTATAATCTTCCATCCAACTTCTCTGTGCGGCTCCTTCCCTTTGTCATTGTTAGCCTGGGACCAAGGGCACTGTGTACATTTGGGAAAGCTGGCCCACAGTCCCTGACCTTGGATTACAGAGATATCTTCAAGGTGAAGCTTCCATATTCGAGGATTTCCAAAGCAATGTGGAAGGACCATTCTCTCTTGGCCAGTCTTGTTGATTTTTCAGGAAAATGAGCCATTACCACAACCTTTCTCCTCCATACCATTGTTTGCTAACTCTTTGTCCCTTTCAAGAGTAAAATGCTCAGTGCTTTATAACCTGAAGGGCCCATGTCAGGCTGTGGAGTACTTTGTTTCCTCTCAACTACCTTCAGGAAAATGACCCAAGATACTACCCTTATAAGGCATCTTTTCTTGGAAGTCCTCTTGTTCTAAATTACTTTAAAGTTAGTAACTGGTAGAAGATTATTTTACAGCATCTTAGCTTACTGAGAGGCTTTTAAACATACTCATGGCTTCCTTTTTTTTTTTTTTAATCTCTAGAGTTGCCCTTCTGTTTTCTGAAGTTACTTTAAGGATCATCTTTCAGAAGGAAAACAACCTGGCATATAAACCACTTCTGAGCCTGTTTATCCAGAGTGGAGGGTGAGGACACTAATAGGCATGAAAAACAATTTCAAGGGTGTTAAGCTGTAGCTCCAGGCTTCACCTTCAAGGAATCAGTGTCTCAGGCTGCTATTGAACAAGAAGATGTTGATGCCAGTGTCTCTGGGGGAGACAAGAGACTAGATTGAATATTGCTGAATTTGTTTTCTGAAGAAATATTTAGAAACATCTGCCCTTCACTTTTCATCTTTTCACCTGCACACCTGATTAAACATCTATAAAAGTAACTGCAAAGTCGGATAATCACCACAATGAGGACCAGATGCAGATGTGCCTCCTGGAAAAGGGAGTGGATCACAGTGGAAGAGTAGCACGTGGGGACGGCTAGGAAAGGGAAGACAAATGGGGCAGCCAGAGATGTGTCTCAGAAGAAGGCTGGGGAGATCATTCTGGGACCTCCCCAGTCTCTGGACGAGGCCAGAAAGGTACAGGCTGAGCCAAGAACTCATGAATGCCTCTGGTCAGTGAGTTAATCATTTAATGAATAAGGAAACTATGTATGGGCCTCCAGGTTAAAGGTTAACGGGCAGGGTTTCAAAAACAATTTCATTAAGTAGACACTAATAGATTACAACTTATGTGTTCCCACATTAAAACAAGAAACTGGTTCAAATGAACGAATGCATACTGGATTCAAAATTATTTTTAAAAAAGTGCGAGTGAGCGGCTGAGGAAAGCTGAAATCTTAAGATAGAAATAAAAGCACCACGTAGTATGGAGCATTGAGTAGCTATTGGGAAGTTAATTGTGTATACATTGATCTTCCCAAAGAGACAGTGGTTCTATAGATAGTGGTCCAGGGAGGGACTCTGTCTTCATCCTTCTGTTCCTCATAGTGGATTAATTCAATAAATAGGAGTTGAATTCAACTCAGTGTCACACTGGCATTATGGTTGTACATTGGGTATGCAGAAAAAAATCAGTGAAATTGTTTATAGTACCAAGAATTCCCTATAATGGATCTAACTCACCTGTACCTTCAAACTGAGAAAGAAAGAAAAAAGGATACACTCATTATGTAATAAAATTAAGGTGTGTGTTTTAAACACCTGGAAAGAAATCCAGCTGTTATGTTTCAACCCCCCAACATCAAATGGACTGAAGATGGATTGTTAAGAACCACTACCACCACCGCTACAGCAAACACAGAGCAGACACCGTTCCAAGTATTGTACATATTAATGCACTTAATCCTCATAAAACTCTATAAGATAGGTACTATTGTGGTCTTCATTTTACAGAGAGAGAAACTGAGACACAGAGAGGTTACATTACTTGCCCCAGGTCATACAACAAGTGAGCAGCAGAAGCTGGATTTGAATCAATGCACTTAGGCTCTAAACTCTGTGCTGTGGACCCTCACTTTACTACTCCCCTATGGGACTGTGCAATGTGCTGGAATAATGTTGGAAAAAAATACTATAAACTTACTAGATAGGGAGCATTTCATTCCACCTGTAGTATTCAGGGAAGACCTTCTAAAGGAGGCATGATGTGGGAGTTCCCTGGTGGTCTGGTGGTTAGGATTTGGTGCTTTCACTGCCATGGCCCCGGTTCAATCCCTGGTCGGGGAACTGAGATCGCACCAGCTGTGCAGTGTGGCCAAAAAATAAATAAATAGATAAAGGAGGCATGATGTGAGTTGAAGGACAAGCTGGATTTCAGCGGGTGGGGAAGGAAAGAGGTCATGAAGGATGGGGTAGGTGTGCATAGATGGGTAGAGGAGATGAAGAAAGGTGTTGCAGATGACAGAAGGGAATGAGAAGGAATATAAATTCAAGGCAATTTGGGGAAATAGTGGATAGACCAGTTTGGCAGGAGATAACTTGGAAAGGTACAGATGATGGTGGGATGAACTTGATCCCTGAAGGCAATGGGAAGCTATTGAAAACTTTTGGGCTAGTAAACAACATGAGTAGAAAATCTTCCTGGCTTCCTCCAGACCAAAACTGGACCTCAAGACTTGGAAACCCATCCTGCCCAATGACTGAATTTAGTTAGAAGTTAAGCCCAAATACAGAACATGGGTTTCAAGGGTCTCAGATCTCAGTTGTACAATTAGGCTACTTTGTTTACTTTCCTTTTTCATGTAAAAACACTATTTTTGAATGAACTTATTTACAAAACAGAAATAGAGTCACAGATGTAGAAAACGAACTTACGGTTAGTTACGAAGGGGCAAAGTGGCATGGGTGGGGGTGGGGGGGATAAATTGGGAGATTGGGATTGACGTATACACACTACTATATATAAAATAGATAACTAATAAGGACCTACTGTATAGTACAGGGAACTCTTCTCAATAATGACCTATATGGGAAAAGAATCTAAAAAAGAGTGGATATATATATATATATGTATAACTGATTCGCTTTGCTGTACAGCAGAAACTAACACAACATTGTAAGTCGACTATAGTCCAATAAAAATTTTTAAAAAACACTATTGTAGGTTTTAAGAGGATATTAATGATTAAAACAAACAAAAATAGCCCTGTCCTCATGGAGCTAACAATCTAGAGGGAGAAGACATAATGCACAAGATAAGTAAAGAGAATATATGAATATTTTGAATATATTGCATATCTGGAAGTTGCTAAGAGAGTAGATCTTAAAAGTTCTCATCACAAGAAAAAGATTATTTTTTAACTCTGTAAGATGATGGATGTTAACTAGACTTATAATAGTGTTGAGCATTTTGCTATGTATACAAATATCAAATCATTATGCTGTATACCTGGAACTAATTAATGTCATATGCCAATTATAGCTCAATTTTTTAAAAAAGAATGAATTATATAAATCTTTACATTTGTGTACTAAGTTTCTGGACAATGACACAGACTTATAAGAATCTTAGTAAGAATTCTTAGTAAGAATCCTCCTTCAGGAGATCTCAAGAGAAAGTCCATTCTACTGACTATAGTAAACAATAACAACAAAAAATATATATATATAATATGTATATATAATGTATATGAATGTTAGATAGTGATGAAAGGAGAAAAATAAGAAGGGGAGGGGGACGAGAACAGTGAGGGTATTGAATTTTGGACAGGAAAACCTGTCTAAGAAGTAAATACTCAAAGGAGTTGAGGAGGGAACCATGTGGATATTTGGAGGAAGAGCTTTCCAGGAAGAGGGAAGAACAAGTGCAAAGGCCCTGAGGTGGAAGCATGTCTGGAATATATGAGGAAGGAAGTGGAGGGAGTAGGGGGGTGATTAACTGGAGGTAAAGTGAGTGAGGTAAGTGTGAGGTAGATCACGTGGGCCCACATAGGTCATAACAAGGATTTAGCTTTTACTCTGAGACCACTGTAGTTCTGGAGCAGAGGACTGACACAATCTGAGTGATGTGTTAATGAGATCAGTGTGTCTCATGTGTTGAGAATAAGACATGAGGATGAGTGTAGATAGGAGACAAAGGCAGAAACAGGAAGACCTGTTAGGAATAGGGTGGCAGCAAGAGAGAGGGTATTCAACTTTGAATATATTTTAAGGTAGAGTGTATAGAATTTTCTGATGTACAAAATGTGGAGGAAGAGAAAGAGAGGAGCCAGGAACAGCCGATGGATTTACCTGAGTGACTAGATTATGGGAGGAACGGTTTTCTTTTTGGTAGTAGTGGAAGGAGAGCCATCAGGAGTTCAGTTGTAGATGAGATAGGTTGGCAAGCTCTATTAAACATTCAAGTAGAAATATCAGCTGGGCAAATAGTTATAAGATCTGGGGCTCAGGAAAGGGGTTTAGGCTAGACACATACACATTGGATCATAGCACATGGATGGTAAAGCCATAAACTGACTGAGATCACCTAGATAACCAGCTTAGATAGAAGAGGTCCAAGGACTGATCCCTGGGCACTGAACATTCAGAAAGGGAGGGGAGAACCAGCCAGAGAATCCAAGAAGGAAGGCTGGTAAGGTGTGAGGAAAACAAAGTGGGTGTGATGTCCTAGAAGCCAAGGCAAGAAAGGGTTTCAAGGAGAAGAATGTTATCAACTGGGTCAAATGCTGCTGTTCCGGCAAGTCAAGTGAGGCCGGAGAAAGGAGCCCCTGACTTAGCAACATGCAGCCTTTGTGACATTGAGAAGAGCAGCAAAGGTCAAAAGCAGAGAGTACAGCTGAGTGGTTTGAGAGGCTGGACACCCCCTATTTTATTTTAGCAATGTCATTCTCTTGGCTTGGCATCTTCTTAGGTGGGTACCTGATGGAGAAAAGGTCCCTTTTTAAAAGTGCTTCCGTGGTGTTCTGCCTTTGCATGGCTTTTCTCCTGTGTTCATTTGTGGATTCAAGTGTTTTGGTTTTTTTTTTCCAGAAAACTTATATTGATGGAAACCTCCTTTGGGCAAAGGCATGGTGCTAGCTGGTGTGCTGGGTTAGCAGGGTAGAGGGAATTCAGAGAAATAGGAAGTGTAATTCCAGTGGTTGCTCTGGTGCCCATCACACTTCCCTTTCGTTCACTCTGGAAACATGTTTCACTGTGGTCTGGATATAGCTGAGGTTGCCTCACCCCCAACCAAGACTGGGCAGGTGACCTAGCCTTAGCCAACCAGAATGCTGGCTCTCCTCTGCCACAGTGATTGGTCCAAGGGCCAGCAGCCACCATCACACCAAAAACTCCACTCTATAGCACCTGCATCCAATAGCATACCTGGCTTGGGGAGGACTGAGATGTGAGTGGCTAGAATGGGGAAATTTTCAGCTTCCCCAAGAGGCCCCAACCTGGCAGTGTACATAGACGGGAGGCTGTGTGCCCTCCAGAGGGCAACTGGCAGGCTCAACCAGTAAGCAGGAAGTTGTGACTACAGGGAGATCCCTGGCAGAAGGGCAAGCCACACAGGGAACCTCCCTTTCTGACTTGGCCTCCCCCGACCGCTGACTCGGTACTTCACTGGAGGGACCTCGAAAATGGCCTGGCTGTTTTGCATTGTCAGCAACTATTACAAAGCCACATGATAAATGACGGCCTGTTTCCTCACTTCTGTTTTCGAGGGCGCACCACAAAAGGACATCACAATCCATAGTCATGCTGGGCCAGAACCGCCCTGCCCCCATCCTCTCCCCTCCCCCCAAGTAAGATTCTCCCCAGAGCATGATTGATCACAGGAATGGCAGGTCTCCAGCTGAAGCTGGGGAGAGAGGAAGGATGGGCAGTGGGATTAAAGTGGATGGAAAAGTTAAAAGAGGGAGAATTTTTATTTTTGCAATGTGCCCCTCTGCTAACCATTATTTTAAAGCTTCCTGAATGGAAACGAATCAGGAAACAGCAGTGGGACTAATAAAATCATACTGGGGAACAGCTGGGGATAGCATCAGTGATCATTAATAATACCACTATTGTGTGGGACCTTTGGTCATACATAAACTTGGCTAAAATCCTTTTTTTCTCCCAATGTCCCCAAGTTTTTTTGTTTTTTGGAGTTTTTTTTGGACAATGAGAGTGTAATTCAAAAAGTTAAGTGACTTGCCCAAGGTCATCCACACTGGATCAAGACAGAGCAAGAAGTTAAAATTATGTCCTTGTAATTTAGTTTCTTTACCCCTCCAGACTGGATGTGCTTAGCTTTCCTGCCTGTGCCCTTCTGCTGCCCCTCTGCCTGGGAGGGGATTCAGCTCATTTTCAGTTTCAGTGAAGGAGGCTAACAATGTTACTTTCAACACTAAGCCAGAAGATGAATGTCCTAGAACTGAATCCCCATTGCTTTTTCTGGCAATTGACCTTGTTGACCTGGCCTGAAAATTGCCTTAAGCAAAAGCACTTCAGACCTTAAAGAATTTATTTTCTTTTATTCTCCTCTCCCTCCTTTGTTGCAGGGACTTTTGTCCACCTGGGCCTCAGTTTTAAAAAAATACACATTGATTTTAGCTTCTCTTTCTGTTCATTTGCTCATTCATTCATTAACTAAATTTATGAAGCATAAATATTTATTGAGCACTTACTATGGACCAGTGCCATGCTAAGTTCTGGAAGGACAGTGGCGCAACCCAGTAAGGGGGTTAGGAAATCTTTCCCTGTGGGAAGGACTGATTAGCTGGGACTTGAAGGATGAATAGGCTTTAGCCAGGTGAAGAGGGGGCTGGAAGAGAATCCCAGGACAGCAGGTATACTTGGAGGCAATAGGAAGCAGGGTCCCTCAGAGAAGTGCCCAGGTGTTCAGTAAGCCAGGAGGAGGACGGAAAGATAGACTATAGAGGCGTGAAGGCTGTTAAGGGGTGTTGACTTTCTCCTAAGAACCATGGGAAACTGGAAGAGTTTTAAATACACAAGCTTCTAGCTCCATCTCTCTCTCATCCTAGAACTCTAATGGCTATGGGAGAAAATCAAATGTGTTTTGATAAATACCTGAGTTCCCAGGCCCTGGCCACTCCCATGCATCTTTAACTGTGGGTGTGAATTCCCCCCAGGCCCTCCCATTACAATAAGAGAGGAGAGGGAGTCCTGAGAGGTACAGATCGTCCCTTGGCAAGATCTAATTTCAAAAATGACCCTGAACAGAAAAATTGTTGAGAATCCCAGTGACCAAAGCGATCCAAAGAAGGGGACAAGGGGACACGCACACCGGGAAGGAACAGTCCTAAAATTCTGTGATCCAAGGCCAAATTCCACTAGTGCCTCACAAGGCACCGGGCCACACTCCTAACTGTGCGGGGAATCAAAACACAGTGACCCGCCTTGTCTCCCGCTGACTTGTTTTAGGTGTGTCCTTGAGATTCCAGCCCTGATTCTCCAGTCAGGGAGTGGAATCTTGGAACGTGCTCCTTTTTTTAACCTTTGGCTTTGCCTTTTCACACATGTATACCCCAATTCCAGAGCTGCACCTGTTGAAACCATTTTCATCATTGCTCCTGCTGCTTCAAAGGCATTTCCTCTGCAGACCCCGGAGAGAAACTGTCTTGTCTGAGGCCTCCCTGGCAGTGGAAGAGAGAGAAGCCGAGTCTTATTGTTCACTAGGCATAATGGTCCTGCCTCAGGACCTTTGCTCGGGCTACACATCAGCCTGGACACTTTCTCGAGATACCTGCCTCACGTCGAGTCTTTGCTTATCTATTACCTTCTTACTAGGGTCCTTTCTATCCTATTTAATACCACCCACCTGCTGCATATCCTCCTCACCCTACTTTCCTTTTCCTTTTTTCTATACATGTGTCTTAGAATACACTATGTAATTTAC